CAAAAATTGTTGAAATCAACGGTTATTTTACTAATTTTTATCAGAAAAAAATTTCTGGGGGTAAAGCAGGCTTGCCGCTTCATTTTCACTTAATATTCGAAGAGTCGATTTCGACCAAAACCATATGAAAAACGTATAATCAAGTTTATTTTTGTAGTATCTCGAAAATTACTGTAGCTGGCGGGCTATAAGTCAGGATTGTGGTTATTTAGGGTCTGATACACCTCTGGTCCAAATTTCGGACCGATCGGATGTAATACGGCGAAATGCCGGAGGGGTGCTTTTTTACGGGACACCCTGTAGTTCCGGAACTAAACGCGTTCAAACCTCGGAAATATACCTTCCACCTTACTAAAATTTTTTTAAAAATACGGCTTGTATAGCGATCTCGCGACCTTTCTAAGATATACCAGCAGGTATTGGTTTTCTGGAGCCTCATTTGCCCAGCGCATAAGTGAGTTAGATACCTACCTATAATGTTAAAAATATAACTTGATATATATTGAGGATCAAATTACTTATAAGTCAGCAGCTATCGAAATTTTTAATTTATACTATCAAATAGTGCTTTTCTAACTCGCAATTTTTTTACTCTTTGATACGTAGCTAAAGTCTACGTTTTTGCATTTTTTAGCGCTTCTAGGCAAGTTCAGATCAGATTAAAGAAGTTTACTCACTTGGAACAACACTTGCTCGTCATCAATTTCTATTGTAACTTGCAACACAGGCGGTGACTCACAAGCCCCCGAAAAGAGGCCCATCTCGGCTGCAAAAGCTTCAGCTTTAGCCTGCTTGCAATTTTTGGAAAAGCAAAGTTTACAGCAAAGCATTAGCTACAGTGACGGCGTGCGCATGACAATTACCGCTGGCATTACGATACAGTCAGTCAAAAAACATCTGGGAGACGTCAAAATATCGAGAAACAGCCCTTTAGCCTTCCCAGTCCCTTTAAAACCTGAATTTATCGATCAGAAATTCATTCAAATATGATCGGTTCTACCGCATTTAGGCCCCCATCACTAAAACCAACACGGAGGTTCACCCCCGTCGGAGCAAGCAGCTCTTTTGTGCTTATCCCCCCTTCGAAAAAAGGGTTCCCGGCTGGCGGTCACCTGTCTCGGCGGCTCCCCAAGGCGGGAGGAACGCCCGGGTCGAGATCTCCGCTATCACTTTTCTGAAATCCGGGCCGGCCACAAACCGACAGACAGACAACGCGGTTTGTGTGTCTGTGCGTATTTTTTTGCCTTCATTGCGGCTTTTCCAAACCTTTTGAGCCTAAAAACTGAGCCTCAATCCCTAAAAATTTACTCTTCCAAAATATTTAGGCAAAACTCGTTGGCTGCGCTACAACTTTTCCTAAAACGAATTTAAAAAACTATCTAACCACGCTAGCCTCGAGTCCCCATATCTTTGCCTAAAAAGCAAAACGTTATGGAGGTATGGGGAATTGAACCCCAGACCTCTCGCATGCTAAGCGAGCGCTCTACCACTGAGCTATACCCCCAGATGGGAGGTGAGGGTGGGAGAGGGATGAGAAGAGCTTGGGCAGCCCCGACTTTTCGAGGGCAGCTGATGGCGGGATTTCGATTTTCACCCGATTTTTTGCCATTAGTGCATGTTTCAAGACACCCATTCAAATCTAGGCTATTTCTATAGGTCCTCGCTGTTGCCTCTGGCTATTCAGGAGAGTAGTACCGTTTTTATTAGCCAGAAAAGTGGTCGTTTCGTACTTTCATAAAATTCATCAATAGAAAAGTTAAAGAGCATGTTTTTAAATTGTGTAAATAGTGTTTTCCGCGGGTTTTTGTTAATATATTTTGTACCTCTAAACTGTGGCATAATTAATCGTTGGAAAAAAACACAAACTCATTCATATGAAAAGGCTTCGTTCAAGGTTTTTTCCGTAATTCCTGCAATCTACCTCACTTTAGCAGATATACAGGGTGTCCCAAAAAAAACGACCCATCTGGCATTTCGCCGTGTTACATCCAACCGGTCCCAAATAACAACAATCCTGGCTTACAGCCCCATAGCTACAGTCGCTCTCGAGTTATAACGAAACATACTGTATTCTTCCAGTTTTCATAGGCCTTTCTTGATTAGACCCCTTCACATCAATTACAACGATTCCGTTTAGCCTTCTAATTTCCGTAAGAATGGATTATTTTGCGGTGGTAAAATCCCCTAAATGAAGCTTCGATTTAAGCGAATTTTACACCGGAAAATACAGTTCTTACGGGAAGTGAGGTCGCAACCGGAGTCATTGCCACTCGATGCTTAGGGGGTCCAATTAAAGATACCCTATAAAACTGTTCAGAATTCCGGGAAATACAGTTTTTTTGCTATAACTCGAGAACGACTGTAGCTACCGGGCTATAAGTCAGGATTGTTAGGGTCGATAACTCTGGTCCAAATTTGGGAACCGATTGGATGTAACACGGCGAAATGCCAGATGGGTCGTTTTTTTTGGGACACCCTGTAGTTCTTCCGGATACTTCACGATACAAAAAGTGTACCTTGCGTAGACCCGTAAACTGGCCCTCACCCTAATGGCCGTGTGGCTGTGGTGGGGCCTTAGAGACAGGTCCAAAGTGCAATATCCTGGCCCGGATCCAACCCGCCTATCCCTTTGAACCTAATTATCCTTTCCTTCTGCCCTTGAATTCCTCGTTTTTTCTATATTTTTTAAAACCCTCCAACCTCTCAAAGCCAATCACCGTTGATCCAATTTGCGCGCGCCCGGGCCCGGCTGAGGAGCGCTATCGATTTTTTCGGGATCCTAGAATTTTTTAGCAGTTGCCGAGCTTCAGAATTTTCCAAACTTGTTACGGCGGTTAAATGGCTTTATAAACCTGCATAGATTTGGAATCTATTCAAATAGATTTTTTAACAAGTGTTCCCGAATTTTACACCTTTAAAAATTTCATTTCGAGATTTTAATTTTTTAATTCTTCACCAGGGTTGAAAAACCGCTTCGCGGCTTTTCAACCCTGGCCCCGTCCAGGACCTGTAAAAGTGCTTAATTTGCATGTTTCTTCCTGAATTCTAGCAAAAAAAAAAGTGAAAAACGGCTTCTCTGTCCCTTTATATAGGCTGTTCCTACTTCCGACGCATGCTAATTTCCCCTAACAAACCGGGTTTTACAATAACCTATTTTTAATAGCGAAAACCACAATTTTTCAAAATTTTTATGTGTGTGCAGTCGATTCCGGATCATTCTAAACCTATTGTCGTTTCTTCCCCTATCCAAAAAACCCTTCCCCGAGGCTGTAGGAGCGGAACATCCTAACGGAAGTGCAGATACACACACACACAAACACCATTTTTTTTATATAGTAGGATAGTAGGATTTTAATTTTTGGTGAAAAAAATGGATTTTATGCAGCGTTTTTAATTATTTTTTTCCTCGTTTTATAATTATTTTTCCAGATCCGCCGCGATTTCGACGTGCTTTATGAGCCGCCACCCGGGGACATTGCCCCATCCATGCCGCCCGCCATCCTCAGCAAGACCAACAGCCTGCACAATGATTACGGTAAGTCGGTCATTGTTTCTTTTTTAAGAAGTTTTTGTCGCTGAAATTAAGATAACCAGATACTCAGTTAATTTTACAAAATTCAATTCGGTTGTATAAATCAAAAGTACAAAAAAAGTGAACACTAGCCGAAAGTCAAAAAATGAATTTGCGTATCTTATGCAAAATACGCGTTATACAGTACCCCTTGATAAACCATAACTCCATTTGAAAAATCGATTTTTTTTTTTACGTGATTATCGATTAAAATTTATCTAGCGAGTTTGTCCTGAATACACTAGCGTTTTTCGTAATTTCCAGACCTCGAAAACACATTAAAAACTAAAAAAACGTTTTATTGTTTTCAACGTTATTTAAATGTCTAACTATTCTCTAGCGTTTCTTTTTTCGCAATTTTTAGACCTCGGCAACACCCGTCAATTTATTGTCTAAGCAGTATTCATGGTCAAAATATTCCCTCGTGCTATATTATCAGCCACCCTCAATTTTCTTGCGTGTATTCGTTGGCCCCGGGCTGATAAGGCCTAGCCAAAAAGCCTAAAAACTGGATTTTGCCCTCACTTCAGAACGTCTGACTAATATATTTACCGCTTTTGGGGTGGGGCGGGTTTTTTTAGTATTTTTTTAGTCAGAACTCACTTTTGCCTCTACGATCCCTTGAATGGCCGAGAGGCGATAATCCGTTTCCCGTCCATTCAACCTTGCTTATCCAAGAGTTTCGATTTTTCGAATTTTTGACGTTTTATCTTCGTTTAATCGTTGGTATTCGCTATGAAATATACCTCCACTTTCAATAGAATCGAGCTCAATTCAATTAAAAATTTGATTAAAAGTTTTTTCAAGCGATTCCAGTTAATTTCCGCGAAATTTTAATTTTTCTGGTCCCGCTTTTCATTATTATTTTTTGATTAAAAACTCTATCCTTTTTATACTTTATAAATTTATTTATATCCGTTTCATTCTATCATCATATTTCTATTTCTATCATTAGTGCAATTCTAGGCATGCACCCAAAATTTCCCGCAAAAAATGCTGATCGAACGTGAGCCGTACCTATTCCCAAGCCTAGACTACAGTTGTTTCCTAAATGACGACTGGGTGTACAGTAAGCATAAAATATATAAAAAATAAGATCTATTCAAGAATTTAATAAAAGCATTCGGGAAACAAAATCTAACATTCAATAGAAATTATCCCTTTTTTTAGTCACAACCCCAACGCGCCGATCGGAGGGTGCGAGTACCAGCAAAGATGACTATGAAACGGTGACACCAAGGAGGTAATTTTTATGCCCTAAAAGCGATAATTCGGATTTTTTAGACCAGCCTCAGCTATCTATCCTGCTCTCAAAACTCAGACTCCCGAAAAGCTATCGATCGACAGGTTCCAGATTATTGAGAAGAAACCAGATGTCGAGGCACAGGTTCGCAATTTTTGGCTTGCTAGTATTTAAGTATACCACACTGGATTTTCAAAGTATATGCTCAAATCTTCTAGATATAGTAGCCAGATAGCTTAGGGTATCTAAGTTTTCATTAACTCCCGAAAGCTAACCCCTAATTTTTCAGCTCGAACGTCTCGTCAAAAGATTCGGTCGCACCGCAGATTGTTCCCAATTTTTCTCGTCTGCTACGGTAGAATACATGACGACGAATGTGAAGAGCGTCAAAGTAACGATTGAGAAAGACCACACGTAAGTAGGATTTTTGCGGAATCAAACCAGAATTAAATTCAGGTGGCCAACCGGTGGCTTGCGGAAATTGACACAGACTGTGGAGACGGACAAGACGGTCGGGTTGTTCCTTGCCGAAACCTTGGCTGCGCTTCTGGATGAGAGTCAGCTTGCTGATGGAGTGCCAACGGAAGCATACGGGTTGAAGGTGAGAGGGAGTGAGAGAGAGAAAGAGAAAGAGGGAGAGAGAGAGCGAGCGAGAGAGAGAGAAAGAAAGAGGGAGAGAGAGAGCGAGCGAGCGAGAGTTTCTTTCTTACGCTGAATTTTTAGGAATACGGGCTCGACGAATTTCTCCCCGAGCAAGAGCTGATCGGCCAGAATATTTTTGTCGGAAAGTGTCTGCTGATGGACAAGGACGTCAAGTTGGAGGTAGGTGGTGGATTTTTGTCAATTTTTAACATACGTTTGGAGCTTATTTTAACGATAGAATCTGTAAGCTTTAATGCAAACAAAAAGTCAAAAACTATACCTTGATTAATGCGCCGTTTAGTTTACGTATTTTACGTACTAAGTACGTATTTTGCGTAGCACGATTTTGTACGTATCGGTCAATCAAGATAAAAAGCATAATCTAAAGTTGAAAAAGCCGAAATAAGTATCAAAATGATATCTTACAGATTGGTCGAAAAATCCCAGCCGATCGTCTGCCAACTGATGAGCGCCCGTATACCTATGCCGATGTTCGGGCAAACAAGTAAGGTTTTTGCCGTGTCTTTACCTCGCATTTTCTATAATTTACAGATACCTTTAGCCTGTCTTTCAGTTTCTTCATTTTTATGCCCTATTTTTAAGCATTTTTCACTAACCCACTGCTCCTTGGTTTTCAGACGAACATCAAAAAAGACAATCAGGTTTGCACTCACCCTGTCCATAAAATTTCGGATAATTTTTCCCATTTGTGCTTCTTGGCTACTTGCAAATTTTTCACGGCTTTTTGGGCGCATTCTCCTTGTTTTTAAGCTATTTTTGCACACGCTGAACTTCTAGGATGAGCCTGGCATCACCCACGATTCTGGACAAAGATGACGTGGAACAGAAGCTGGCCCAGCTGAAGGACAACATGGAGGATTTTGACAGCAAGGCTGGAGACGTTCACGCGTTGTCCGGTTGGCATTTAAATTTGTATATTTGAGGCAATCCTAAAAAGGCTTCCAGCATTTTCCACAATAGTTATTTCCTGATTCTACTTTTAACAAATTTTCCAGAGCTCTCCCCGGTTTTTTCGTAAGCTGAATTGCTTCGAAAATTCGTTTAAAATCCTCTTAAATTTTTCTTTCAAATTTTTCTGGCTTTAAATATGCTTTTTTTCATTTTTTTAGAAGGAACATTAACATTTTTAGTGGCGAACTCGGCGAACGGGGTACGAAAAAGGGTAGAAGAGCTCTGCAAGTTGTTGAGTCGTATCGAGCCCGGTACGCTGCACAACACGCTACGGAGGTATTTGACGGCCGAAAAGGTATATTATACTATTTTATTATTTATTAAAATACTAGCCAGGTCGTAAATGAAATGTAAGGTATTTTAGCTTATCCAACCTAAAAAACGATCTCTTAAAGATCATCCGTAGAAATCGGCTTTTTTTTAATAAAACTTTTGAAAAGCCGGAACTAAAAAATTTACCATTAGGTGCCGTAATGCATTAAAGTATATCAACCGATCTTTCTTGTATCTAAACTGTACGAACAAATCGATTTGTTTTATAATTTAGAACGACCGCGAATCCGCGCGTCATGACTTCCTCCTTGCCATCCACAGCTTTATCCTAGCGTACTGTAGGAGTACGACCAGCAGCTACACGATACGACCATTAATTGTGAGATTCGAGCCGATTAGATCAATTTGGTGTGTTCAGGAAAAGAAGAAACCTCTAAAACGAGTGATCGAATGCGCGGAAATCGTCCAGGTTTTGGTCCAAAGTGTGCACAATTTGAAAAACGAGTGGTTGTCAGAATATCAGGTATCCTAACGAATCGTACTTTATTTTAAAGGGATAGTGTCATGGCGTATTTTTTACTATTTCGATTCTAAAAATTGTTTCTTTGGACAAAAATCCGCCTTTAATATTTATAATAAATTTGTCAAACACAACCTGGTAAAAAAAATTATTAAGAGCAATATTACATCTGAATTTTAGTCCTTCTTCATGACGATCAACTTGCATCACGGCACTGACGATTTGGGAGGTCATAAAG